CCAATGCTCACCCGGCAGCTGCATCTGGATCCTTTAGAAGGTCCAGGTATTCTTGTAGCTGTTCTTGCGTGAAGTGCACCCAAAGGTCTTGCTCGGTCATCCTCCTTGCCAATTACGCGGCGAGCCTTGACGCTTATAGTTAATTGTTAAACAATAGTACGGTCTTTAAGTTTCACTTAACTATCATAAGACCTTAAGCAATGCGGCGAAGAAAGAAATTCCTTCAACAACACGCGCTCCGATGCTTCATAACATCCCTACAGTTTAATGTTAATGAAAACTTCACGGTGTTGCAGGTGCAACTAATTGCCTGCCCTCCGTGGTTAACGCACGTCCTTGTAGGACAGATTATCGCCGACTGCTATACTGCAGTATGCAGCAATATTATTAAGGTTCCTATGTAAATATCGACAGGTGAATGTGTGCGTTTCTTTGTAGGGATGGTAATGGAAAACTTAAAAATGGACGACAGCCATTACTACTTCAAGAAAAGGTTAACCAACCAGAACCCACATCAATCCCTTAGCATTTCGGGGTAACTGTGTAGATATTTTTGGTTGATGATGAAAGTTGTATTACCGTAATGACAGGAAATGTTCGTGATTCTATTGTTCGAGACACCCTCAAAATTACACCCGAAAATATTGGTGAAACTTTTGAATTCGTAAGAAGCCAACGCAACCGAAGCAACGGTGCCTGCAATGTTCGTTAATGGGTCCGACTCAGAACGCCGATTGACGCAAAAGCTGGCCAATGCATGCACGGTTATTCTGCTCACCAGCAAACACCAGATTCCGTATAAAGTATCTCGTATAACTTGTCATTTACTAACGATCTTTGACGCATAGAATCCAACGGAATAAAGCGTGGCATTGTACGATTTGGCTTCGGAGCACACATATATTCGTAACGACCATCGCCTGGAACAGCTTGTAATTTATATGTGACATAATTTCGTGATGCCGTCACGAAATTAAAATCACGAACATTTCCTGTCACTACGGTATAGCGCTAAATCGCTGGACTGTTGGCAACGCCGCGGGTTGCTAACTGTACTACTGCTTATGGACATACAGTGAAGCCTTGAATCACTTTTGTGGATACCTGGGTGAATACTGCTTGCGACAAAGGTTCACCGGCAGCTGGTGTTGCACTTCACAGCGACGATACTCCCAGTCCGCGTGCAATAGGGTATGTTGTAAACTCTTGAGCTGCTCTGTGCCATACGCTATACAGCTACTCAGACTCGGAGGGTGGTCTGCACTTCTTTTACAAGCAAAACTACTAAGGGATCCAAACGCCGTGCCTCAATGTACGAAATGGGTGCCCAAAGCCTTTC